AAGATGAATGAACTGTGCAATGTCCCTAATTTCTTCTAATTTGGAGCTGGGGTTTTACAGCAGTCACAACCAACACAAAACATGACCGTCCTTCCAGAAGCCCTGGGCAAATTTGGGAATAATTTTTGCTTGTCGAAGAAGGATAGCAAGGTGAGACGAAGGTGCAAAACCCTTTAGTCAGTGCCATGAAGGGCACTGGATTCTGGCACAGATGCTGCTGTTAGGGTGTCTGTCAAAATCGGCAGTTACAGGGGCAAGGCTCAATTTTTTTGCTGTTAATCACAGTGTGAATGTTCAGCAGAATAACGTTCCACCCTTGAAGCAGGGTGCATGAGTCCCACACAGGACACAAGAGACCTTCCTCCCTAACAGAGAAGGATCCTCTTTCCTCAGCAGTAGACTACTACAGCTGTATTTTCCATAGGAAGCTACATTTGTCACGGGAGCATCCTTCTTGCAGGGGAGTGGAGCTGTTGAAAGAGGAAGCAACTCCCTTGGTCCCGATTTGAAAAAAATGCCTGAAAAAGACCCATAACCCTGTAGCAGAGCAGAGAGAGCTCTGACTCTCCCAGCTCCATATCTGTCTTTTCTCTCTTGCCACACTTGAGGCACAGGCAGGCATGTGAGGCAGCACAGTGCTGCGGGGAGGGAGGAAGTCTAATGGTTCTCTGGTAACGGAATTTAGAATGATGAAGAAAGGTAACTGAACAGTTCCCTTTCTAACGTCCTGGCTGTCAGTTGAATCCCTTGCTGCCACAGAGTCCCCTGGGACCTGTGTCATGTTAGTATGAAGCCTCAGAAACTTATCTATGGTACATCACAGCCTCGAAAAGACTGTTTACTTTTGGATGTTTACAGGGGCAATCAGAATCAAATTTGAGTATTCGTTAGAGGCTGAAAGGGACAGGATTTGTTACTTGCCTTTCCAAGAGATACTCCCCATTCCATCAGCTTTTTTATTTTTTGGCAATATATTATTATAATTACTGCTGCAATTATGCTTGGAAACTAACAAAAGTTCTCAAGATGGACAGTCTCTAAAGTGCAGCTGTCTGCTGTACCTCCTTCCTGCACATGCATATAAAGACTAAATGGGAACAGTTTTCATCCTGTTGGTGCTGTTGAGACATATGTATGGGACGTGGCTTCACACAATGAAATCAGCACCATGACATGCCACAGATTCTTCCTTTGCTCCTGCCTTTTCCTTATATCAAGCTGAAATAATTACTGCCTTGACAGGGCAGACATTTGAAGCTGAAGTCACACTGCAGGTGGGACATCACTCTCTGGACCAGAGATGTGCAGCAGGGAGCACCTCCCTGAAAGATAAATGGGGCTTCCAGGGTCACACAGCAAATCAACAGCAAATCCAGAAGTCCTCCTGCAGTTTGCATGCTCTGTATAATCCAACAGATTGTTCAAAACTGGAAAAAAAGGCTTTGCTTTTTTGCTCCCCGGAAATTCCTAGGTGTGCAGTTTAAGAACCTTCTTGAAAGCACAGTGCCCAAGGAAGCTGCTGTCACTGCATTGCTTGTGCCTTGCTTTTTTTTTTTCTGGTGAGATTTTTCTTTATCTGCCCCAGGAGAGTCAGTTGTGTTTTCTCCATGGACAAAGTGCTCTTTGGCATGCAGGAATCGCACAGAGAGAGCCTGCTGCCTTGGTGCCTGTCTGGGCTGTGGGTATGGGATAGGCTGTAGCTGCTCTGGGAGCTGGGCAGCCTTTTCTGGTGGGAGCACCGTGGGCTGGGTGTGAGGGCTCCCACATTCAGGCTCGCCGTGCTTAGCCATCCCTCCAGAGGGAGGGAGTGGAGGTTCATGCTATAAGGCTATATTAATGCAATCCTTCTTTACTTGTTTTCCAATTAGCCTAATTGAATTCAGATTGCTTAAAAGTGGGCACTAGAGACATTTATCTTGATGGGATGACGGCCTTGAGCTCCAGCGATCCTATTAACTATAAGAACCCAAATCCCAGGTAGGGTCCATCCAGCAGTAGCTCCCATGTGACCTAACAATTTAATCTGCTCCTCTTCTGTCCAGCACACACACAGACACACAGACATGTCCATGTCCACGCTCACACGTGCATAGGTGCATGCACACATGTACACGTGCGTTTGTGCATGCGTAGGGACACAAGCACATGCCCAAACACACACATGTGCACATGCACACACATGCAGTGGCTATGCCTTAGGGCTCCAGCAGCCTTAGGAGAAAGTTTTAGTGCAAGATATTGGAGAAGAACGTTGGAGAAAGACATTGGAGGAAGACCTTTTTTCCCTTTTCTTGCCAGCTGGAGCAGAGTGAGTGTGCAGCCTGCCTGCCTGCACACCCTGCTCCAGGCTCTCCTGGGACCTGTCCCCAGGGACAAACACCTGGAGAGCTGCATGCCCAGTGCCGTGTACCCAGTGTGGCCCCACCACCTCCTGCCCCCGTGCCTGCCCAGCCTGCTCTGGTGTCTGAGGACAGGGAGAGCCGGTGCTGAGGGATGAGCCCTGCAGGTGCTGGCAGGGAGCAGGCAGCCACCTCCAGCAGGGTGAGGATCAGGCTCCTGCTGAGGGCAGATTTGCTGCTCTGCCCTGGCCATCATAACACCCTGCACAAGGGTTCTCAGGGAGATCTGGGCCAACGGTGCTGGGTCATCCCCTGCCTCTGGAGCCGGGCCCCACTGTACCCAGTGTACCCCACTGTACCCAGTGTACCCCACTGCTCCAGTGCCCAGCCCGATGCCACCCCAGGGCAGGTGCAAGCCTTGGCTCCAGCACACCAAGGAGTGTGGGATCAGAAAGTGATACCTTCTGCGAAGCAGCCCCGCCCTGCCACTGCAGACTGAGGGGGTGTGAGTCTGTGGTCTAACGGTGGTGCCTAGGGCAGCCCACCCCCTGACAGCAGCACTGCACTGGGGCTGCACAGGGCCCCCATTCCACACAGCCCCCAGCCACCCCTCAGTCCTGCTTGCCTCTGCCAGCCCTGACATTTTTTGGAATCCCATTAATCGCTTGTTTGGTGATTCTGACTATACTTTCTTCTCTGACCCTTTAAACCATGAAAGTGCTGATCCTATATCTGCTGATGAATTTAATTAGATCCTTTAAACCACCAGATGCTTTCAGTAAAATTTTTAGGATGTCCCAGGCACATTTTAATTCAAAAGTTGAAAGCCTCAGGCTTGTTTACTTTGGTGTCTTATAGATAAGACAATTCAATCTGTAAAGCAACAGAACCACGTGGACACAGCAGCCAGATCTGTACCCATGCGGAGGGAATACCTGCCACCTCTCCCTTTCCCTACGCTGGCAGCCCCAGCGTCGCTGCCGGGGAGCCGCGGGCGGTGGCTCCCGGAGGGCCGGGGCTGTGCGGGACGCAGCGGCAGGGCAGGGCCGAGCCCGGGGCTGTGCGGGACGCAGCGGCAGGGCAGGGCCGAGCCCGGGGCTGTGCGGGACGCAGCGGCAGGGCAGGGCCGAGCCCGGGGCTGTGCGGGACGCACCGGGGCTCTGCAGCCAGCGGAGCTGAGCCTCTGGGCAGCTGCGGGATGAGGCATCCGGCCAAGGAGCTGCCGGACGGGGAAGGTGGCAGGAGTGGCCTCACACGGTCACATGAGAGAAATTCGCTCACTGGCACCAGTTCGGTTTATACCTTGCTCTGTTTGTAGGAGGGAATCTCATCCTCCTTTTAGTGTTAGCAAACTGGGAACTACCAACCAAGAACAGTTCAACATATGTTTGGGAGGAGTGTTTTTAGAAAGTGCCTGTGTGCTCACCAGTAACATCAGGGAAAAAAATGATGATCAGCTTGAAATGCTAGAAAGGATTCTAGTAGAAAATAGGTAAAAGGCATACAAAGAAATATATTTGCCTAGATTAATAAAACACAGTCCATATATGATGAACACATAAAGCTGCACAGTGCCCTCTCTGTCCTTTTGCAGACATGGAGGTGGATACCATTGTAACCATGGATGAGAATGAGCTTTTTAAAAGTAGCTGATTTTCTCTGGCCTTTTCCCATGTCAGACTGTCTGTGCCAGTGCTGCAGCAGAAGGTGGTACAGTGGCCCTCCCTGGCCATCCTGGCACCCAGCACCTGCTGGAGCAGGAGGTGAACCTCTCTCCCTCGCCCTCCTCTCTGCCTCACTGCAGAGCTGACTTGGCCAAAAGGGAGAATTTTTCCTCCTGTCCAAGTGTGGACAAAGGGGTAAAAAGAAAGAGAGAAAAGACAAAGAGAAAAGGGAGGGAAGGAAGGAAGGAAGGAAGGAAGGAAGGAAGGAAGGAAGGGAAAGAGAAAGGAAGGACACAAACCATACTTACTGCATTTGTTAATTTAAAATTAATATTTTTACTTGGTTAGGTGGAGACAGAGAGAGACAGAAAGAGACTTATAAACCTGTAGGAAGGTGCTACATATATTCATTTCCAAATTTATTTCACAGGCTAGCTCTTGGAGAGGTTACAAAGTCCTTCCTTTCATAGAATACCTGAGCCCCTCAGGAGCAGTGTCCTGCCTGTCCGACAGCCTCAGTCAGATTTAGCACAAGTGAAAGCCAAGCTTCTCCTCAGGGTTTAGGTGCCCTACCGTGGCAGAACCTTCCAGGGGGGCCAGATTTACGTTCAGCCTTCGATGGAGGTGACTCCCAGAATCAGCGTGGTGAGCTCGTTTGAACCTGTGCAAGTTTGGTGCTGGTACCTCAGGCCCCAGAATTTGGCACACAGAGCAGCCAAGCAGAGTCACTGCTGTCCCTCGACGTTTAAACTGCCTTGGAAGACTGAGAGACTGGGAAATGAAAGCAGGCTGGAGGAGCCTGCACTGCTACAGAGCAGGGCTCACTGACAGCTCCCAGGCCTTGGTTTCCTACAAGTCCCCACTCAGTGTTACATATGACAACACTTTTGTCCCAAGCCGTTGAGTTACGTGCTTCACTTTTTGTGTTTTGCTACATTTAATGCAGAGATGGTCAAAAAAAAAAAATCTTTCAAGTTTTTGCAGCAAATGTCAGCATTTGAATACTGTGTTTGTTTCAAAATGTTTGAAACAGACGTGTTTTTATAAGAAACATATGCATTTATTTCTGAAAGCACTATTAAATGAGTGATTACCTGTATGTGATGTATCAGAATTACAATTTTGCTAAAAAATACACATTTAATAGCATGGAAAAAGGCACATTTTTTCCCCAATATTAACTTCTTTTGAGCCATTTTTTCCATGGGGAAAAATGTTATGTTAAAAATTAGGATCACTTCTAACTTTGTCCTAGGCAGTCACAACACGTAACTTTTCCCCCTCTCCTCAGGGTTTTAAGTCTCTCTCTGTTGTCTCGTTTCTATATTTATGCTCTAGAGCTAAGTGCATCCCTCTGCCTGCCCTCACTCTGCAGTCCTGGCGAGACAAGCCTGAAGTCACAGCCCTTGGGTGGTGGTGGCTCTTCTACATGACAGAACATTTCTGCTCGGCCGCCTGCTTCATTTCAGTGAAGGTGGCTTGTGCCTTTTCTTTGATCTGATCCATGTCCATGTTCTGGATGTTCTGCAGCTGTCCCAGGATGGAGTCCTTGTCCTCTTCCTCCTCCTGATCTTGTGCCACCATCTTCTGCAGGTCTTCTGGCAAACCCACGTCATCTCCAGCCATCTGTATTTGATTCTCATCCAATTCACTCTGATACAAAAAGCAGAAAATAAAAACAGCACATGAGAGTACTTCTGCTCTCCCAGGATCTACAGATGAGTCTCTTTTTTGTTCATTTCTTTGTTTTTTTAGGGAGAACCAAAATAGATAGCACAGATTTTTCGGTCAAAGTTTTTAGGTGCAACTTGTGAATTCAGGGGCTCAATCAGCCTCCATGCAAGTCCTAAGATTTTTCAGACAATGTCTACTGTATTTTTTTGAAGGGCTTCAGCACAGTCAAAACTGAAGCCCTCAGTGTCACTTGCCATTTTAGAAATCTTTGACATATGTGTTGGCCGTGGTAACCTGCTGACCCTGCAGGAATTCCATTCCAACTTATGTGTGTCCACCAAAATCCTGCTGCAGTACACTGCTGAGTCTGCCTGTCAGCTTCTGCTCAATGAAGCAATGGCTCTAGAAAAACTGGGTGGCTACCATTGCCCTGGGGTTGGTGGGCATTTTTGGGTATCAGCACTAAACTGAAGCCTTCCAGAGGAAAGATGCATGAAACTTAGGAAAGAATTAAAGGTAATTAAAGGTTAAAGGGTCCTCATCTTCCTGAACCACGTCTGAACTCTGCCTAGGTCTTTGGTTGGCCTCTCTGAGTTGTGATGAAGGGCAGGGGCTGCCTGGCACATAACCAAAGCAGTGTTGCAGTGCTGCTAAGTGGGGTAATAGGAGGACTTGGACAACAAAAGAGAGGATGGAGGTTGGGTGTGAGTCTGAGAAAGCAAAAGGAGACAGGAGAAGGAACTGGTTAAGCAATTAAAAGGGCTGAGATGCAGTAAGCACTACACACACTTGCTTCCTGCCTGCCCCCTGAAACGCTCCATCAGTGGGGCTACGGCAATTTTTCAAACAATGGTGATTTTGTTCACATTTTGTGGTGGATTCTGATGGATCCAGTGCTCAGAAGACCAGGATATTTTGACACAGTTCACACATCAAAGATAAGCATTAATGCCTCATTACATCTCCAAAATGAAGCATGACAGCAGCAAAGGCCTGATATGAATAAGCAGCAATGCTATCAGCAGGAGGTGTTTTTGAGAGTGAGGGGTCTGGGGTTTGCATGAATGAGTGCAAGAATGAATGGAAGGATGTACATGAGCAATGTGTCAGTTCAGGCCTTAGCCAGGACAAGCAGACGGGGGTGATCGACTGCACAGACACTATTTACTGTTATGTGTTTGTCCAGCTTTATGTTTGCAATAACTCTACTTCCCTTTAACCTGATTTCTCCCCATATCTCCTATGAAATTATGGAGAGCTCTATCAGGATTGTTACTCCTATGTGGCTAAAATGGGTGAGGCCATCTCTTCATCCCTTTGGATAAGGGTTGCTGCTGTCAGATATGTGGGAGCATGAAACAATATCCCAATCAGCAGAGTTTTCCTTTATTGATTGTGTACCAGGAAAAAATGTGTTAAGCTTTTAATCAGCAAGTGCTGGCTATGAGAAGAGTTAGCCCTTTGGAAATCCTCCCAAGTAGCAGTAGAGGATGATAAAAAAAGATACAGTTCTAATTACTGAGAAGTGCCCCTAAGCAGACAATCACACATGTTCTTTCCTTTAGAACTATTTATAATTTAAGACATCATCACTGCACATTACTGTAGTGATTTCACATCTTTGGCAATGGGAACAGTTGTCTGGCATGTTTTTGCACCAAAGCCCACTGTCCTACTTAAGTCTGAGATGTGATGCACAGCAGCTTGGAGGTTCAAAGTGTTCTCTGGCCAAAGAAGAACATATTGACATATGGTCTAAAGCAGTACAGTTCTGCCCAAGTCACCTGCCTCTACCCACTTGGCACTGAGCTTGTCCTTGAGCAGTCCTAGAATGAGCTTCAGCAGAGTGGGGTTACTCAGCAAGAAGCAAAGAAGCACATTAATACGTGTATGGTCTTTCTTCTAAAATGTGACAGATTTGATTATTGTTTCCTTTGATTTGAAATGGACACGTAGGATTAAGTTTCTGATTTTATCTTTGGGGGGTTTTTCGAGTCTTATGAAGAAAAGTTAAAGCTTGCTTTCTCATAAGGAGAGGTTTTCCCAAGGCCAGACATGGCCCTGACAGTGACAGAGACACTGCCCTGCGTCGGAATACACAGAGAGCACCCAAAACAGGGAGAGCTCCTGGGCAGAGAGCTGGGGCCGTGGGCTCTAGTCAGCCCATACAGACAAGCCCTGGGGGCCCTGGCAAACTGCACTGGTCTGGATGGTGTCTCTCCTGATGCCTTTAATCTTCACAGGCTCCAGGTCTCTGCAGGTGTTCAGCCACCCTTATAGGATCTTTGAGAACAGAGGTGCAATATCTGTTCTAGGAAATTAAATGTGCCTGGCACTGGTGTCTTGCCCCAAGGCCAGCTGGACTGGAAAACCCCCTGAGATGCTATTGAACTCTCTCACCCTCCCAAACAGGGTGGTCCCATCTAACTGCCGAGTGGGAATGCCTGTCCTAACTCCCAAACTGGCCCTGGGAACTGCTTGGGAGAGTGCCCAGGCCAAAACTGGGTCAGACATTATTCTGACAATTCAGCAGCATAGGCGATAGATAATATTTTTTGACCCTGATTATGCATCTGATGTAGTTAGTCTCAGATTTTGTTTTGTTATAGATGCAGAGTTCTTCACATATACATGATACACAGGTAGGTGTGAAGGGAAAACAGTCTAAATAGCTGCTTTATTACAATTTGATTTTCAAGCCCTCTGTCCAAATTAAGGTGCAAATGAGACCAAATGCCAGTTCAGCAATACCGACTTTATTTTGTAACATTGCATGTATAGGGAAAGGAGACAAGTAGGTACAGGAAGCCACAGGTGGAACCAGCAGCCTTATCCCTCACAAACACTCTCTTGTGCCATCCCCACACAGGGACAGTCTGGAGCAGAGGTGGTGTGAGGGGACTGCTGCCTCCTGCCATCGGCGCTGGGTCTGCGTTTATCCACAGCTCACCAGCAGCTCAGGGCTCTGTGTCGAATCCCACGCAGGAAAAAGGCAGTAAGTGCATAAGAGAGTTTGGTGGGTTTGTTTGTTTGTTTGCTTGCTTGGGTTTTAAATAAAAATATTAATTTCTGTATTTATATAATTTTTTTAAAAATGTGGTTTGTTACGAATGTCACACGTTGAATGCTCCAAAGATGAAAAAGTTGCCCGTAGATCAAATGTCTCATGGCTAAAAACATCTTTCTGATGACAAATCTAAGTTGACAACTCTGTTAATAGGATTAGGTTCATTAAGGGTCTACTTTCTCTTATAAATCTGGCCCAGATAGCATGGAGCTTTAGATTTTACGCTGCAAAGGGGGCCCTGCTTAGTCCTGAATTTCATGCATTCATTTCCAATGTGTGCTAATGATCGATACTGGTAATATGCAGGGTTTCTAGCCCGTACTAGGCTATCTGAAATGACTTTCAGGTTTCAAAATAACTAATGCATTATCATAAGTCTGAGAGCATTTTGCTGCCAGAATGTTGTATCACAGAGTTGAATTGTTTTCCAGGGGCATATAGCGTCCATGTAATAATTTCATTTTCTTCCTGATATAATGTACGTTTTCATAAGGGCTGATAAAACCAAGAAATGCTATACAGGCAGAAACAAATGCAGAAACAGCACATCCTGCAATATTTGCTGGCTTAGAGCTACTCTTCTACCTTGGAGGCAAGTCTTCTAGTGTTATCACTGGAATTTGTCCCCAGAGAGCACTCAGTTCCTAGCAAAGCCAAGATCCTGCTGGAGCTGGGCAGATCACCACTGTGTGCTCGTGGGTTTAGGAGGTGCTCAGCCCTGGGGGTCTGTGGGCACCTCAACACCATCTCAGCTGAAAAAAGCCCCACAGGTGGGAGCCTTTCAAAATCACAGACACCCAGCTCTGCTGATGCTCAGTTGAGAGCTGAGCACTTCAGGATCCCGAAGCTTTCCAAACAGGCCCCTCTTTGATTTGAAAACCATGGCGAGGCGACAGGTAAGTGCTGTCCAATAGCCATCTCAGCATATGCCTCCAAAAGGACAACAAAGCCTAATGATATTTTACTACTCAGCTGCTAATTAAAATGCTGGTGTTTAGAGATTTAGGCCTACAATCCAATCAACCACTTAAAATCTTGTACTTAATTTTTTTTGCATAATTAATCTTTCTGTAATTAAACTCACCCTCAGGATGTTTTCCAGCTACTGCATTGGAAGAAATGGGCTCTTAATGGTGGAATACATTTTACCTGACTTCAGCTGTCACCTGGCCTCCCTCTGCAAGAGGCATATGGCACTGGGAGGTGACCCAACTCCACCTGAAATGCTTATTTGAAAGTTGAGATAGGTGAGGCTAGAAGTGCTGCTCTCTTTCTGTTGATGACAGAGTCCCTAAATGACTTGCTTGGGTTAAGCACCAAATTTTTTAGCAGTTAAATTTAACATGAGATGGATTCTTTAGTAGAGAGTGATCCTTGTTTTTATCCAAGAGTTTTTATGTCAGGAAAAAGCTAGCAATCTAAATGCTGTCTGTGGCTTCTGTCACGATCCAGAAGCTATTGCAGCTGCTGCCTGCTTTTAACAAACCTCCACGGTTCTCTGTTGCTTGAAGCTCTTGCTTTCTATATTTTGCCTTTCCTGGGAATATTTGACAAACAGGAGCACTAAAGAAAAAGGAATGGGCAGTTTGCTTTTGCACTTCTTGGGGGAAGACAGTACCTTCAGGAGTTTAGCAGAACTCAAATGTAGACCTTGTACAGGAGTTTTCAGGGACTTTGCTTATGTGCTTACAGGGTTTTTTTTCAGCTCTTGAATGCTGCCAAGTTAAGAGCGTATACTAATGGTGAGGAGAGGTCAGACCAGATCCTCCACTTGCCTAGTCACCTGTTTTAGATCTGAAGGGATAGAGAGGGATTACAAGAACCTTTCTGTTAGATTCATCTGATAGAAAAAAAGCACTCCCTAGGGAAATCCATGGCTCTGGCCTTCTCCATTTCTGCAGTGGGGCTCCCAGGAATGCAGGCAGTTTTGCCATTTTCAGGATAATGCATTGGCAGTGAGTGTGGTTTAAAATCAGTCACTGAGGGAGCTGAGCTCACGAGCTCCAGGCTTACCTTAGGGAGTCTGTACTTCTCTCTCAGGTGAACCCTCAGACAGGCTCGCTCTGCTTTTTTCTGTGCAAATGCTGCATCTCTTTCCATCCTGGAAACCAGAAAAAATGTTCCTTCAAGATGCTAATAAAATACAGTCTTTTACACTGAACAAGGTGCTTGGCTGCAAAAAGCTGCACACAGGAGTTATTCCCCAAAGTTATGTAACTTGTCCAAAGGCACAAGAGGAGCAATGCCAGTAAAGTGATGCAAAGGGGTCAGACTTGCAGTGCTCCAAGCTTGTCCTCAGAACAGTTCCCTTGAGTCCTGTGAATAAGGAAGGATGAGCTAATACTCTTTGTCTGGAGTTTGTACCTGTACTACCTGTTATTGCTGACTATAAGGACGAACAATTCCAATGAGCAGAACACAAAAATTGCCCTTATTCCTTGGTAATTCCACTGGGGCACTCAGAGCCATGGCTGCCTGCCAGTGCTCATGCTCTACAAACATGACACTCTCTTAGTATGACACCACACAGGAGGGCAGGGGAGTCTTTCTGGGTCAGAACAAAAGTTTAGCCATCCTGGAGTCCCTTCTCCAACAGGAAACAGGAGTGGACATGTAGAGAAAGGATTTAGGAGGAGTATAAGCATCCTGCATCAAAACTGCCCAGCTTCCAGACTCAGTGGTGCAGAGTCCTGGAGATGGCCACTGGCTCTACATCCTTGGCTGTAACAGCCCTGGGTGGCCTCTCTCACCTGGGAATTTCCCTGGTCTTTTCTTTGTCCATTCACTGTTTCACTATGGCAATAATTTCCTGTGGCAATGAATTCAAAAGCTTCCCTCTATGGAAAAAGACTTCTTTCATTCGTGATTTTATAAAATGTTTTCACTAGATTTAAGAACTGGTCTGCACAATTTTTTGTTAGATTAATTATGTATTTATTTGCAAAATATGTCTCCTTGAAGATTTTTGGTAACTTTTGATAACATTCACCTTTCCACCTCTCCCTTTAATTTTTTTCCCCCCAGTAGCATTTTCATGGAAATTCTATTGCAAAATTGGTCTTGTTTCAGTATAGGTACTTTGTCACATAAAAGCTACTTGCAAGATGAAATATTACTTTTCCCTGCTTCCAAAATGAGTTTTTGGATTTCTCTGTCTCTAAAAATAAAATACACCCCCCCAAACAAAAAAAACCACCCCTCCCCAAACCTAAAATATGAGAAGAACCCAAAGCCAGTTTGGTTATGGGTTCAAAACTCTGCCTGAGTATAACTTCAGCAAGGCACTTCTCTGATCTGCACTCCTGCACAGCTGAACACTGTGCAAAATCCAGAGAGCCCTGAAACAGAAACATCCCCTGCCCATGCCAGAGATGTCTGGCACAGAACCACACTGGTGGGCACTGTCCTGAGGGGATTTGAGCTCTTTAAAATGTTTCAGGTGTTCCTATTCCAGTTCCTGAAGTACTGTCAGGAGTTCTCCTGCCCCGATTCCTCGGTACAGTTCAGCATGTGAAGGACACACACACCACTGGGAAACATTATAGAAATAATGCTTATTCCAGGCATTTCCCTATCCCAGGAATCCTGTGTTGCTTCTCAGTTTCCATAAAGCATCTTCCTGCCAGTAGGTGGTTATTTCTTGTTTAAATATCCCTCGACAGAAGGCATACTAAAACATTCTGTGTTTTATTCCAAGCCAAGTGACACCTGTTCAGGGTTTCACGGTGGAAATGTCTGATGCTAAATACAGACCTGGATACCTCGAATTCCGTCAGTCATTAACCTGTCACCTATAATCATCTTACAAGGGGGATTTACACAACCATTATGTAATTGACCATTAGAGGAACAGATGCATTTGAGCTTTAAAAGTCAATCGTTTTATTTGTAATTATGCATGATTTGAACTCCTACAAGCCAAGTCCTCATTTTACTTCTGTTTTCATTTTTAAACACCCCACAAATGGTAAAGATTGCATTTACAGACAAAACTGAGATTTAATTAATTCTGCTTTATTTAGCAGGTTTTAGAAGAAATAACCATATTAAAACTCTGCTCTAGATAAATATAATCCATTTAACATAGCACTCAGTGCTTTTTCATGTCTGCCATAATAAATGCAGACAAAGAAATATTATGTATGGAAAGTGTACTCCACATCGAGTTCTAGGAGAAAAAATCACGTGTATTTTAGAAATTAAATCCTGCACTACAAAGAGCTTGGAAAATTTGTCTAGGTAAAGTAACACCACCTCGAAATGAGTTCAGCACATCAAGCTGTGGAGATAGCAGGGAAGCACAGGGAGGCAGTTGCAGGATGGGGACGGGGGGGCAGGAAGGGGGAAATAACATTTTATCATTTCCAGTAGGTGAACTTTTATTTTGGAAAGTCCTTTTAGCAAAGATTCATCTGCTTTAAAAAAGAGTGAAGAGCTGAACGTTTGCCTTTTTCTTGGGTTATTTTTATCTGCACAAAGTTACCAAGAATCAGCCCCATACTGATAATAAGGGAACAGGTACTCACTTCTCCTCAACCATTTGCTTTTGATATTCCTCATACTCCTCTCTGGTCATTCCTGCAGCTGCTGCTGGGTCAGAAGGGGTGCTTTCTTCTTTGCTTTCTTCCCCTCCACCTCCAAGTCCCAAATTCTTTACCTGGTTGCTCAACATACTTTTCATTAGAAAGGCCATCTTCTCAAAAAAAAAAAAAAAAGAGCTATAAGCAAACAACTATGAGAAAGCCAAACCAAAAATGCTTTTAAAACCAACAGTTGTAAGCAAGAGAGTTTCTACAGCCACATCAGCTCTTCAAGGGCACAGTGCTAGTGAAACGTGAATGCCAAAACCAGTTTGTCAGCCATAATCTGGATTAAAGAGTGAACTCCTTAATATCTAGAGGCAGATGGTTCAGATTACTCCAAAAAAATCATTAGATGCAGCTACCTACTTTTTATATTAATACCATAAGCTAATTGTACACACACACACACACACACACACACAAATCAATGATAGTGTGCAATAGCATTTTGATGTCTTCAGTCTTGAAGCTCTCTCTCACTTTCACAGAGACCAAACCACTCCCTGGAACACACCACCTCTGAATTACAAACCTGCTTGACTAAAAGGCTATAGTAAAATCATAAAATTCAGGCTACTGAGTGGAAATACTTTTGTATTTACACAAGAAATGGGATTTGAAAACTGAGATTCTTCATTGAGCAAAAAACCTGATGCTTTTTATCCATTAAAATTTTATCCCAGTGGACAGAAAGTACACTGAGTGGTTTTTCTTCATCCACTTTTCACATGGTTGGTTTGTCTCACAGACCAATGGGGCGTTACTGCTACGATGCCTTTTTTTCCAAGAATGTAATCCCCCAAAAAAGCAAATCAGATCTTCCCAATTTTGTTTCCCTTGGGTTTCTGTCAGCTCTTCCCCAGGCTGTCTCCACGTGGATCAGCACTGTGGGCACAGGAGCAGTTTATCTGACTGATTCTGTGTGCTGTAAGACAGCCTGGATGCCTTTTGCTTGGGGTTCTTTCTGTAGGTCCTCGTCTTCCAAACTTCTCTTCCCATTATTAGACTGGCCAGGTCTATTCAGGTGAAGCTTTGCAGGATCTGCTGCCTAGGTCACAGACTATTTGGGGAAAGAAAATCACCTGCTAGGTCACAAAAGGTCACGATTTGGGGTTTTGAACATCCTACTATGACTGATTGCACATGCCTTAATGAAACATTCTGTAATTTTGATTATCTAAATGGTTCTCCATGCACTCTCATAATTTCACTGAGAACTGAGAGATGGGAGGATTCCAGTTTGCTTAATGCTTTAATCTATATTACAGCCTTTCTAATTAAAGCAGACCTATTACTATTAAAAAAAAAAAAGAAAAAAGGCAGGATGTTCTCTAATGCTGGATTATTAGTGATTAAACAAGAAACTTTAAGTTTCTTTTTGAAATTGAGTATTACTCAGAAGCATGAATTTCAAATAACAATGAAACTACTTTGATATACTACAAATACCTTAGAAAGCATTTTTCTTAAAACAAAATGCATTTTTATAATAACTGTGCCCTTTCAGAATGATGCATAAATTGCAAGACTCTGTGGGCAGAATAAACTTCTGACACGTGACCAACTCTGCCCTTGATTACAAAGGGAGCACACTCCGAGAGAAGTTTGACATAAATACAGTTAGCATTTTCTCTGTGCTCTGACAGGCACGACCAAATGTTCAAATGCTGTCCCACAGCACCATTGCTTAGTGCCAGATGCCTGTTGAGTCCCCTGGCAGTGGCTGGTTCCCCTTTATTGGAAATCCTGCCCCTGGCACAGGGAGCACCAGTGTGCTGTGCTGGGCACTCTGCAAACACTTCCAGTGGCAGGGCTCAGTCTTCTCCAAGGGGATGGGGAGCGTTACCTCCTAAACTCTGGGCTGTTGGTGCTCACTGAAAAGAACCTTCCCTAACTTGGGGGCAGATTCAATTCAAGATTCCTCTCCTCCACTTATTAAAAAATTGCTCCTGGCTGGGGGAAAAATGACCGAGAGGGAATTCAGCCTTGGAATGCCACTAACTGCCCAGTCTGAGGCAGGACTGACCCCAGATCTCTGAGCAGGCAGGCTCTGAACAGAGGGTAAAGAATGCTTCAAAGGCACTTGCTTGGATTGCATGGACATGCACTAAATTAAAAGAAAAAGGCTTACTAAAAATATGCATCTTTATTCAAATAAGGTTATATCTGAACTCCAAGTGTCAATTTACATTAGTCAGAAACAAATATATGAAAATGTCAGCCGTTTGAATTTAAAATAAAAAAAACCAAACCAGTAGACAATTCTTCTGTTACAGTAATTGATCCATTGAGAAATGTCAAATTTTCTTCAAATAGCAAGTTACAAACCATAGCAGGTAAACTACAAACTGTAAAACAGGTGATTTACAAACCGTATTGTGCATTTTACTTTTGAAAGATTCAGATGTGACCATGTATTTAATATACCCTGACCAGGACAATCAGATTCTCTTGTCACTGCCAAATATTTGCTACTTATCATCCACAGTTCAAATATAATTATTAGACTTGTTCTCCCTCATACTGTCAAACTGGATTCCAAGTTGTCTTCTCCTCCTAGTTGTGAAATCTTACTTGATAAGAAAAGAACCACACTACCAGTGTTGAAAGAAACTTCTGGTAGCCAGTTTGACTGACAAATATCCTTAAAGTCCAAATTTGTTGCTATCACTTCGAGGACAGGCAGGACGAAATTGGAGCTGGGCAATTGGGAGCTTTCTTTAGATCCAGTGAGTGCTGAGGCAATTATGGGAGTTCCAAGGAGAGGCAACTGTGAAATGAAGCATGAAGCAAAGTTATCAGTTGTCTGGTGTTCTGCTCTGGACCACTTGCTCCCTAAAGCAGAAGTTCCCCAGCTGCCCGTGGGAGACGTGTCCGATCCAGCAGCAGCATAAACACGTGAGCTGAGCTGAAGGTACAACTGCAGGCTTCAAGTTTCCCCTAGACATGCCCAGCCTTCTCTTCTGTCTGACAAAAGAACCAGAAGGATGGGCTGCTCCAGCTTTAGAACAGAGTTATGGTTGGATAAATTCACAGTAACAAAAATCCAGGCTTTTCCCAATGGATACATCAGAGCTGCTCCTCAGTACCCCACATACAGGCACCCACTTACAAAACACACTGGCAAGCCCTTCTGTCCAAGGGCCTTGCAAAGCCTGCTGTGAGAGGAGCAGCTCTGCTGGGATGTTGCACTGGTGGGAGAAGGCCTGTCATTGAAAGGAACAACACTGTACAGCTTCAGAAAAAGTTAAGAAAATAGATTTACTTACAAGAGTCAGGGTTGTAATAGCTTAGACTCAAGGCACCTGTAAATATCTGCTGGTGTTGAAAGAACTGAACAGACAAATTCTGATGTGTTACTCTGGCTTCTCTGAAAGGTTTTCTTTGATTTACCCATCTATCCCACAAGACTAGCCTGAGGCAGTAGTTTCTCCAATTAGTGCAGTAAAATCTTATCCAATTTCGAAATGAATCTCTAAAGCTACCCCACTTACAGAATACTACATCCTGCAGACGTGTTAACTGGGGTGTAGGCAGGATTGTTTGCTGGGTATAGCACAGGCATTCACGTTTTGGACTCTGTATTTTAAGTAGCAAAATATATTGCATAGATATATCATCCCTCCAAACTGACAGGCACAATACTGAAGTGTTCTCCATTACAGTGAACTTGGCAGCATGTGTTGCACTCCAAGGGAGTAAGTAGACTATAGAAATGCAGTAGTAGTATGTTAGAGAACAGATAATTTTTGCAGATTCAGACAAACAAATTAAGAGTTAAAAGTGAAATATTCTGATGCATTTGTGTATTTTACAGAATTTTTAAAATCCACAAAAATACCTATTCTAACCCTACACACAAAACTCAAGGACAAAGTTACCACAGATATGTAAACAAGGCAAAATGATTTAATTTCACATTCCTAAATTTGGCTCTCTGCTTTTTCCTTTCTTGAAGCAAATGTTCATTTGATAAGCAGTATCCAAACCACATGTTCAGCCTTATGCTTTTGATATTAAAGCAGGAATTGACACAAAATACTGGTTCTACAATAGCTCCTGGATTAACAAACATGTCTGAAGCAACACCTTGTGAAGAAATGGTTTAACACCTAATACCTGTACTTTAGAACACTTGCCATGTCCAGATTTAAATCAAAGCATCTGTATTTGATACATGAAAGACACAAGACAGCTTTATAAAAGTAAAGACATATCCATACACTAAACATATCCTTAATAAAATCAGATTTGAAGAGGTATAAAGCAATACTCTTTGCTGGAAAAGTTCCACAAATCTCCAAACAAAATTACAGACAGACTTGAAACTACAAAAAAAAAAAGAAATCAGGCCCACAGTATACTTGAAGAAACTACTTTATCACATTTTCTCTCACTGCCTAAAACCAAAAGCCAAAATAAGAACATAAGGCTTCTTTGCTTGTTCTGTATAATTTGTTTTTTATATCAACAGTCAGAGTCTTTGTGTTCACATATTAAAAAGTGTTTAAATCTGTATTTCATAAAGAGTTAGAATTAACAAAAATATTCTTATACTTTTAAATCCAAGTGGTAAACAAATAAAATGCTTATAATAAATTTTTACTTGCCAAAAAAATTACAGAAGAACGGGGGGGGTTTGTCTTCTTTTCCCCCCCCCCTTTTTTTTTTTTAACTGGTATGTCAGAACACTTGGTAGCAAATTGTCTGCACGAATCATCCATCTGCAAATCACACTGTGAACAATCCTTCAATTGAACAAACCTTCAATTCCCTCCTCTGGAATCCTAACAAAAGCAGAGGAATTGGGCCTTTGCCTTTCAGCATTGATGAGAAAGTTGGCTGAAAACACAGACCTAGACAGGGTCTGCAGTCTTCCCCCATCCAGCATTTGCTCTGCTGCTCCACAGTCTGTTTTTAGCTTTAGCATCAACCATTTAAATAAGAACTCATTTTGTTTAACAAAATTCAATAATTTACAATATTGACGTGTATCGAACACTAGATTTTCCCTCATTTACACAAGTGTAGAATTTTCTGTGCATACATACTGCTCTTATGTACACACAAAAGGAACAGGTCATCAAAAGAACTTTTTGGCTGCTGCTTC